CCAGTGGATGGAATTCGGAGGAGGCCTAATCTGTGGGATCTAATCAGTCTATTGGAGGTAATTGGCAGCAGGCGGTCTCTCAAGTACTCTCAAGTTTTTGGTGCAGTAGAATAAGATAATAATATACAATCTTAAGAGTATCTTAGGCATGTTCCAAAGCGCTCTAACTATAAGATTATAGGAGTATGTTTCACCTGAATTTGTGTTTCAAAAGTGGACTCTGCAGTGTTTCTCTGCATCTCCATTATACTTACAGAAATCTTGTGAGTGTCTCAAAACCTTTGCAGACATGCGAAGTAGTCAAGATTCCCTGATTATAGGAAACTTTAAAATATTACATTACCGATAGATTACAGCATTACATTACATTCGCTCATACTCATCTTAGACTGATAGATATAATGTTAAATAAAAGAACTATATTTGAAGATAAACTGGTTATGTAACATTGAGTTCAATTAGTCATTTTAATAAAAAGACATTACACAATATGAAGCAGCATAATGTCTTACTGAAAAGCTGCAGATTTGATTCCTTATTTCCTTGTAGGAGGTGTTACGTTTACTTCTCACCCACTCCTGTAGAAGTAATATGGATGTTGATTTACGTACATGAGAACCCAGATTGTTGGGGGCAATATGCTGACTCCATAAAACGCTTAGAGAGGGCTGTAAAGCTCTGCAAAGCGGTATATAAGTCTAAGTGCTATTACTAGCCACAAAAGTAAATGTTTCTAAGAGATGATTAATAGCAGATCTTATCCAACGATAAGATTTTTTTAAAAAAATCTTGTAGTTATTCTCAAAAACTAATATAACAGCCCTTTAATTGTTTGCTTATTAAATTAATGTAATGTTTCCCAATCATCACCCCTAACCCAGCAGTCCACTTACTAAAACAAGTCCCCACTAAAATCCCTTCTTGTCCTATAATAAATCTTTAGTGCATAAATGCAATGCAATCTAAATTAGATTTCCTCTCCCCTCTTTGATCATGAAAGAACAGCCTATTACACAAGCTGCTGCACTAGAAAGTATATGAGACCTCCCACGCCCACTGTTGCTCCTATAGCCAATAATCGCACCATAAGGTACTCCAAGGACTTCTCCAACTCTGTGTGTAATTTAAGGACCTGCTTCTTGGTGGTCTCAGCATCTCCTGAATTATCAATGACATGGTCAGCCAACTTGACCTTCTGAGCAAGAGGCATCTGGGCAAAAATGCGTGCTTCTGCCTCTGTCTGAGTCAGCCCATTCCTGTGCATCAAGCGAGACAGCTGGACTTGTGGGTCACTAATAGAAGAGAAGAAAATGAATTCAATTAAAATCAAATGCTCTCCAAATTGTACCTATAATATTCATCTAGACCAGAATCACTGAGAGAAGAAAAGCTTCCATCTTGTTTCGTCCTTCCCACTGCATGCAAGACAGATAGCAATAGTACTTAGACTTATATACTGCTTCATAGTGCTTTTTATAACCCTCTCTAAGTAGTTTACAGAATCATCATATTGCCCCCATATAAATCTGGGTCCTCATTTTACCTACTTCGGAAAGATGGAAGGCTGAGTCAACCTTGAGCCGGTGAGATTTGAACTGCCGAACTGCAGCTAGCAGTTAGCTGAAATACTGTAACCACCTCACCTCCAATTTTATTAGTGCACAGGAAGCAACAACCCTGATAAAGTTTTTCACTGTTAATGGTAGTAGTAGTGAAAACTTTAACTATGACACTCCCTTTGTACTGTTCCCAAAAGATTTCTCATCAGCAGAAAAAATGAACCACTATTCCTTGAGCTCAAGCTGCCAGTGATCTTCCAAGGGTTTCCAATATACTTTATGTATGTATACATAAGTATACATCAGGGGTGGGTTTCAGGCGGTTGGTGGCGGTCCCCGCGAACCGGTTGGTCGGTGAACCCAGAAGTAAGTAACTTCCGGGAACGCCGAAGGATCCACCAGCCCGCCCGCGTTTCTTACCCGGTTTTGACGAGTTCTGCGCTTCCACGCATGTGCAGAACGCATACAGCGCCTGCGTGATCCTCCAGGAGCAGCTGGAGCATCGCACAGGCGCTAGTACGCATGCGTGCACTGCATGCGTGCACGAGGATGCCGCCGGGCCCGTTCCAACCGAACCGGTTGGGTGAGAAACCCACTCCTGGTATACATATATGCTTCATCATGACCAAAACCTATTTCACACTTCTCCCCAAAATACAATGTGGTTGGCTTGATTTTGCTGGTATGTTGCATTAACTTACCCAATATGCTTTGTTAACAAAGCATGATTTACAACTTAGCCCTTCATGCAAACTCAGTCACACAAGAAATATAAGACAGGTTTCTTTGACAGATGAAATCTCCTTTATGAAGGCTTCCACTGAATTCTCTGGTATGAAAGAAATTAATCGTGTTCCTTACCCCACCCTCTTTTCCAGAAAGAATCTCATACTTTTATTCCCCATGAACATTCTGCAGTAGCAAAAGATATTAAGCACTGCAGGCAGGAGCACTGAGGGGCAGAGAAAGAGAAATTGCTAATAGTGGAATGGCAGTAGTGTGTATAACAAACATAACAGGATGAAAGAATTAAGACATTACCTCCAACAGAAAGAATTAAGACATTACCTCTCAAGTCTCAAATGCCATAGTCTTATAATGCACATAAAAGCTGGAATATGTAAGTACAAAGCAACAACTAAGAGAATGCACAACTCATAAAGCAGGATGTTTCAGTTACTTGATCCTACTCCTACTCCACTTCAACACACCATTCTCTTGAGGTTTGAACCTTCAGAAAGCTCAGCCTATCCATGAGATGATGGACTGGAAAATGAGATATGCTGCCTCTCTGCAAACCAAGTTAAAATAATTCTGTCAACAAATTTCCCTGTGCAAATTTCAACCAATTGTCAACAAATTTCCCTGTGCCTTACCTCCTTAGATATCAAGAGGTGTTTTTGCAGAAGCAAGATGAATTACATTACAGCAGGTACATGTATTTCCTAGCACCATTTGTAGTGTGATGGGGCTTTCCCCCATCAATACCCACACCAGAAGGAAGAACACTATACAGGCTGTAGGTTTTGATACATAGCAGTAATAGTAATTGGAGGAATAGGAATAGAAATTCCTTCCTGACCAGTTACAGAAATACACAAAATGAACCAAGTGGCTACTGGAACATATATGGTAAATGCATTATGAATAACTGCACACTCAAAAGGCAGTATGCATCTAGCATGCTACATTGAAAGACCCTGCCTTTGTAAATAGACTGAGATTCTAATGCCAGATCTGAAAGCCATATAGATGAAGCTTGTCATTCAGAAAACTACTGAAATGCAGAGAATCGGATGAAGAGAGCTGAGGTCACATGGCTTTATTATAACAGTTGCAATTTCTTGGAAGGACCACAAATCACTCTACTCCATTTCAACGGCCCTTCAACTCCTAAGGACAATTCCATGACCCATAGCCTTTTCAACTCTACCCTGAGTTAAATATTCTTTTAATAGTTACATGAAAATGCCCTTTATTCCTACTTCCATTTGAAGAAAACAATACATTACATAGCCCAGTGGTCTCCAACCTTGGCAACTTTAAGACTTGTGGACTTCAACTCCCAGAGTTCCTCAGCCAGCGCTGGCTGAGGAACTCTGGGAATTGAGGTCCACAGGTCTTAAAGTTGCCAAGGTTGGAGACCACTGACATAGCCCATTCTCTGACTTTCATGCTATCTAAATTGTTAGTACTGAAAGTATTCTCCAGTACTCTCCTTACCAGAGGAGTACTCTCCTTACCAATACACAACAACTGTGTGCTTCATGAATCTGGTCAGCATTTTGCTCTCAAAGAGGAGCGGGATATCCAAAATCACATATCGATAGCCTGGAAATAAATTAAATTAAACAAATCCTTTATTAGAAACATTTTTTCAATAGCAGTAAACTTTTTGTGTATAATGCCGCAAATACATACAAGTAGTCCTGAGTCATTTGTTCAGCATTACAACATTGTTAAATGACAACCGGCCTGTCAACTTTTAGCCATTGCAGTTTCCCTGTGGTCACATGATCACAATTCAGGTGCTTGGCAAAGGCTCACAATTACGAGTGTCCCATGGTCACATGATTGCCATTTCCCTGTATGCCTTCCACAAGTAAAGTCAATGACTGTCCATACTCTACAGCTCCTTGTTCCCTCCCATCCACCTGTATTCCACAGTGCTCTTCGGTCTGCCTGCCTGCACATAGTTTAAGTGTCTGGTCCCACATTGTGATCACTTGTGGCCGTCATTGAACAATCTGCACAGTCCTCATTATGTACAGATCAGGAAACCAGATAATGGTCAGAAGACGAGGAAGCAGACTGGCTCCAGGATGGCAAAGGAGTGTAGCAAGGTTTTTTTACATCCCTTTATCTATTCAACCTTCCTGATGAACGTATGTATATGGAAGATGGATTAGAAAAAAGATAAGTATGGTTTTAAAACTGGAGAAAGAAGGGTCAATAATCAGCACTATATGGATCACACTAACTTGATAACCAAAAACGCAAAAGATCTACGAGCTCTAGTAATAAAGTCAAGGAGCACAGTGGAAAAACATGAAACTATAATTAAATATTAAAAAGACCAAACTAATGACAACAAGCAGAATAAGCAGCTGTAGAAATGTCAATAAAAAAGGAATCTGGCTGATAGCTTCTGCTTAGCAGTGTTAACCATCAGCAATATAAAAATAAGCAGTCAAGAAATAAACTGCAGACCAGCATCTGACAAATCAATCATGAAGATTTCAGAATTGTTATACAAATGCTGCAATGTGTCTATATTTACAAAGAGCCATAACATTTTCTTTGACATTCTATGGAAACAAATGTTGAAGAATCGGGTTAGGAAGAATATTGATTATTTTGAATTTTAGCATTGGGGGGAAATCCTGAGAATACTATGGATAGCCAAGAAATCAAATAAATGGATCATTGAACAAATCAACC